ATGTTGCCTTGGGAATTTGTTGTTAGATGTCCACACATATTCTACAGGAACAGTGTATGTGAAGAAAATGAATTGGGTCAGTATGATGGAATGAATTTTTGTTTGGTTTATACATAGCTTTTTCTGCGATGGATCTTGTCTGCTGATTTATGTAATCATCTTTTGTAGGAAATAATTGCATAGATTTTTTTTTCTCCTTAACTCTTTTTTTTTCCATAAGTTGATTTGAGTAAAAATGGATTTATTGACAGAACTTTTTTCTATTTTTGTAAAAATTGACATATTTTGCAATAATAAAATTTATTTTTTCATTTAGGATAGTGCTAAAATTATGTTATACCGGCTATTCAGATAAATAGCTAATATTATTACATTTCAAATGAGAGTGTTGACATTTGAAAGTTGCACAATTTTGGCTAAAATTTTAGCTGAAAGTACCAAAGAAATTTAATCAAAAATAGCGCATTAATTGAATGTCGAAGTTAATTGTAATCGAAAAAATAATAACAGAAATTACCAGCCCTTACCTGTATATCTTTAATCCCTGGCAAAAGTCACTTAAATAGTAGTTTTCTATTTATTCCTCCACTTGTATAGTTCCATATTAGCGCACCCAAGTTCAGTGCACAAACTCAAACAGAGGCTGCATACCTCACAGTAGTCCATCCAATCAATGGACGCAGGGGGCCCTCTATAATTGATACTCCAGGTGACGTAACGCCACGCTGGAAGTCAAAAGAGTTTTCTTTGCGAGTTCTTAAAGGTACTGACTGTGCTATGCCTTGCATGAATGGGCCGTTCTCTGTCAATAGAGGGCGTTATGTAATATCTCACCGTCGTTGGCTAGATCAAAGTTTATTTAATGTGAAACTGCATAACGGAGAATAATAGAAACTGTGGCTACCCAGTTCAGGACAGAAAGGAACCGACTGTGAAGAACATAGAAACATGCAAGGGCAGTAACTGGAAGTTTTCAAATATTCACAGCCATTTATTTTAGGATAAAATCCTCTAGTTATTTACCCGAATAATTATTTATGCAATGTTTGTGGCCTGTTGCTTTTGTTATCTTTATGTTGAAGTGAAAATAGTAAGTGTTTATTTGTGACTGAATGTTGTTTGATCAGGGTATGAAATTTGGAATTAGCAGGGTTGTTTTAGGGTTTTGGAGGTGAGATATGTTTGATAAATTCCTGGTGCATTTGACCAAGAAACAGAAGGTGCAGATGCCTGGATGGTGTTTTCCAGAACAGAAGTGTAAAGTGTAGTAGCAGTGAATCATATATACATGCTACAGTTTATTTAATTTATCTCAACAATGTAAGCTTCAGTACTTGAACATTGCTGCACAAGTTTAACTTGCTTTTTTGTATCTTTTTTTACATAAATTCTACTTTATTTTGCTGTAAGAAATTAGAAAATTATTGTTATCCTTCTGTTGTTCATTTAATATTGAAAATAGGTATAAATATGTTTGATCAAGGCGATTTTTCTATTGGTAACAAATTAGCTACCTAACACAAATGCAAATTAATTTTGAAAATTCATTTTTTAAAACTTAATTATTAAATATGGTGTCAAAATCAAAATTATCGTGTCAAAATCAAAATTATCGTGAAAACCTTGCCGTAGAAAAAAAGCAATTTGAAAAATAAGGATTAAATTTCATTTAAGCTAAACTACATCAAGTTTAATGATCAATTTGGGAGCAAGAAAATTAAGATCATAAAAGAGAGAAATGTGGAATAAAAGTTTTGTGTTTGAAATTTGATGGGCTTAAAACTTAGATTCAAAAAAGATCAAATAAAAAAACTAGATTTAAAAAAAGGTTAAATAAGAAACTTAACAGTAGAAGTGTCAAAAACAGAAGTTTTTGTACATTGGCAGTCTGCTTCCAAGTAAATAGTATTAAATAATATAATTTCATAAATATTTGATGAAAATATTAAAATGTTAATGACATCTTAAGTGTGTTAAAACATTTATTATTATTATTATTATTATTATTATTATTATTATTAAATATATTTTGTAAGTGATTTATTCTCATATTTCAAAATGGCCCAATTTGACACGCTAGTAGTCATCAGTAACTGCACTATATCGTTCACTGCTCTATAAATATTCATAAACAGTAATTACTGGTCAGGAGCACCTGTTCTTTGACCAGTATACTAATGGGCAGAGTGGACATTAAAATTGGACATAACAGCTGCCCTGGCAGTGGTCAGGAGGAGTGGACACTGTCCACCACAGACATTGTACTGGCCATTACTGGTCTCTCTGAGCTGCAGTTCATCATCTAATGGCTTATATTTGGAGAATTTTCCTTTTGAAAAGTGAACCGTCATTTGTGTTTATTTTGTCGTTGTTATTTTAAGATATTTCTGAAAAATATGAATGATTGTGAAAATTCTACTGATAGGGGAAAAATTAGGGGAAATAAAGGGGAAATTAGGGGAAGTTAACTTCATGTGTAGCAGGTGTCTTACTCATTTATAATGCAAATAAATTACTGTTTGTTTGGACCACAGTGTGAAATACTAAATGGTGATGGTAAAGAGTGAGAAATGAGTATTTTACTTTAAGCATTAATACCATGCATGTGTTACTTACATATTATTTGCACAAAAGATGTATAAATCATTAGAATAAGGATGAATTTTGCTTTTCAATTTTGTTATTTTTGCTGATTTTCCAGAACAAATTTAAGCAATAAATGGTGATCTTTTTAATACCCCATTCTTTAGCATGAAAAAGAACATTTTTAGATGCTAAGTTTAACTCAGTAATAATGTATAAAATTTAAATGAAATTAATATGAATAAAATTTTTTAATATTTTGTTTACAGAATTCCAATATGCACAATGAAGCCAAATTGACTACTCAAAAAGCAAGAAAATTAAATATCATCTTATAATGAAAGTACTTTCTAAATTTTAAAGCATGCTTTGCAGCAATAATTCTTTTTTTTTTTTTTAAAGCAGCTAAAAAAGATTTCATCTTTGTATTTGTGTAAAGCACATCTCAGTTTCTTTATCTAATTGAAATTTTATTTTCAGCTAAGAAATGATAGGCAAAGGACTGCCACTAATTATGCAATTAACCTGTTTTTCGTGCTTGTCTGTGGTCCTAATTCTACCTCATTTGATAACTAGGCAAATCAGTCAAGAATTTTCTGAAGGAAAAAGGGGTATACAGTTCTTGTTTCATTATCTGTGAGACCACAATATATTCTGGATCTGATGTCATTGTATGTTTGCCAGCTCTTTTTTTTTTTTTTTTTTCATGGGCAAAATATTAGCACCAGTAACAATCATTGAAGATTTTCCAGAACAGAAGTAAACAAATTAAATCTACTTGGGATGTGAAAAAAATTTTCTTTTACTTAGGCAAAAATTATCTTATATCATACAGTGCTCCAAAATTTAATTTTTAAATTGTTGTGTTGAAGTCAGTAGTGCTTAAATAAATCAGTCAAAATATTTTAGAAAACAACATGTTTGTTTGAATGAGAGTGAAATATTTGTTTGTCTGCAGTATTTCAAAACACTGTGATTTTGTTTCTTTCAAATCAACTGAAGGTGAAGTGGAATACCTAAAATAATATGGTACACAATTAGGAGAGACTTCTGCACATATTTAATGTTTTCAATTTATAAATTTTTATTTTTATCTATTCTTTAATCTCTTAAAGCAAAGGAACTCAAGAAAAGTAAAACTGCTTCATCTAATGTAGGGCATTATGTTTTTGTTAACTTAATTGAAGAGAAAGAAAAAAAGGCATTTTTGCATATTCAATAATTCAAAATATGTTCACTTTTTTATTTGCTTTTGGTTATTGACTTTTAATAATTCCATTATGTAATTATATTATAATTATAATATTCATTTCTTGCTACCAAAAGTAGTCCAACTATACAGTGAAATATATGTCACTATGTGAACAGCAAGAGAATTGTAGAAAATTGTAGATAAAATTATATAAAATTCTTATAAATGAAACAAAGAATCTAGCGATAAAAGTTACCAGGTATCTAAAATATTCACCTGCGCCTTACTGACATTGAAGGAAAACGGTGTCTTGAAATTGTATAACATGAGGAAAACAAACAGGCAGCGTGTTGAGCTGAAGTTGAGTAATATTATCCAAACCCAGACAGATTTACCCACAATCGGATATCATCAACAATTACTTAGACAAGCTTTAAGTAATGTTACAAAATAATACAGGGGTATTACATTGACTGCTTGTTATTGGACAGAATTGTGCAATGTCGTCTGCTCCTGTTTCTATGGTTACTCGTACAGAATGTTTGTACGCATTGGGACCTATGTCACAAAATCAATTTAACCTGGGTTTTGGTCTGAACTTTCACACCAAAATTTTGTCTCTTTTGACCCAAGAAAAATCAGTATTACTCCAAATTAAATGAATTTTTTGTCTGCTTCATAAGAATTAAGGAATACATGGCTTAAGTTTCAGACCATTACTTTACTTACATGGACAACTATGGAATTATCTTATACTGAATTGTACAAAAAAAATTAGCCTAAGGGAGTAAGACCAGTAATTGGGCTCAAGTTCTTTGGTGAATTTTATCCCCAGAAACTGGGGAATGAGCACCAAATTTTCAGTCAGTTTTATGGACTGAAAGGTGCTGCCATCTGTAGGCAGAAAATGTAACTGAAAGTCTGCCTGTACGATAGAGAATTAACATTGATGAGTCCATCATATATTTAATATTATTTGAAAAATGATCAAAACCTTGTCTTTCAGGCTCAACAACTCGTCAAACCTTTTTAGAATTGATTTCATTTTAAATTATGATGTATATCATCTAAGTGGACTAAAAAACAAACTGATGGTGACATATAGTATTTATAACAGAATCAATAAGTGCATGCTTTCTCCGTATTTCCTTAAAGAACTCTCTTAAGGTGCATGGCAGTGATTTTTTTCTCTCATTTACAAGTAACACTCTCTTTATGATTTCAGACATTGCGTGTTCCCTTGAGTGCCAAATATGGCTGCCCCTCACCCACGACATGGGTCCTGGCCATCAACTCTCTCATCTCGGTGCTCATAGTGGGTCTGCCTGTGGCCAGGAAGCATGGTGAGTCAGCAAATTTGAACAGATTTTGATAACAGTTGTGATAGTCAGGTGTTATTTTAACTATCCAGAAAAGTTAGTGCAGGATTAATTTTATCGTTCATATACAGTGAAAGATGTAGTTCATCCAGTGTTAAGGCAGATAAACTGAAAGGTTAGTGAAATGAAATTAATTAATGTGAACACACACACCCCCCCTTAAGATTTTTTGTTTGTATATTAAAATAATTTCTTCAAATATCTTTGCCTTTTCCATCCACTTGTGAATGAAAGTTTTTTACAGAGATGTAAGTGGATAATACATGTATAGTGCTAATTAACCTTTAAACTATCTTTATCTTGGTAAAACAAGTGGCCTTTACCTTTAAAGAAACCATTCACATGATTTTGTCAAGAGAATAAACTATTAACAAATATTCAAGTTTCCGTTGCTGAGTTTTACTGTACTTTCTCAGTCACTATTGATTTCCAAAGTCAGAAATAATCTACATGTTCACCAACAATACAGTCATTTGCATTCCTTGCATTTATAGTTTGCATAAAAATGCCATTCTTGGGCAGTGTATTCATACCATTATTTAAAGAGGATGTTGCATGTCCTTGAAATACATCTGCATGTAAAAGAACAGGCTAACTGTAAATATAATAGGATAATAATAGTTTGCTGAAACAGCAGCTAAATTCCAAGTTATTACTCTGCCTATATTTCATTGTGTCACAATATTCAGACGTCTGCCCCAGGAAGACAGTGTCTATGTTATTGCTTAATACTTTATTTCTATGAGATGTTCAATTCATATATTTTCATTTCTTATGATTTACAAAATATGTGTGAATTAGTAATGTTGCATTTTCAGATACCGGTAGCTATTTGATTAAAAATTAATCATTTGAAAAAGCAAATATTTCAACATAGATTTGATTTAAGATAAACTGTATAAAACTGATTGCATATTGCTCTTGATTATAATAGCCAAGTGGCACTAACTTTATAGTAAACTAGATGTTGTAATTTAAATATGATGAAAAATGTGGCAGATATGAAGGTTTATTTATTTATTTATTTATTTGCTTTCCTTCAGATGTGGCTTACGAGGGTGTGTGGTCAGAGTTGGCTCACACACTGGAAGAATTCCTGTTCTCCAAACAGTAAGTTGAAAACTTAGGAAAGTCTTCTTGTTAGGCTGGTTTTAGACAATTACAACTTATTTCATCTGGTTGTCTTAAGATTTGTGTTTACTTTTATTTGTGACAGCTGGAAAATTAACAGGTTGCACCAGATTTTTTGATTGATTTATATGTGACAAGCACGGAATAACAGGCCCCACTGCTCCAAAGATAACAACCAAGATAGTTGATCTATATACTGTTTTGTTAATTCATTCACTTATTTTTTCAATTTTATTTTTAATTTCTGAACAAGTTTCTCACTTTTGATTCACTCTCACTGTTTGCTCTTCTTCAGCCCTACCCCTTCCACAGCATCAGTGGAAGACTATCAGAGAGATGAGGCAATTGATTGTAGGGTAAGTGGTACATGCTCTCCCACCTGTTCTCTTGCTTGTGGACACAAGTCAAAATTGAGATTAAGAGAATAAGCTGAATACACAATGCTGTAGATTATGATGAACTGATGTATACTGATATATTACAAAAGGACAGCTAAAATGGGATTTTTTTCACAAAAATAACACCAACATGTTTTTCTTTTGTATTCATCAATTCATCAAGTGCAAAAGGTAAATTTAATCCATTTAAATGTACATTTTTAAATGACTCGCTCACTGGGCTCAAGTCTATTTTCTAGGCCAGACCAATTAAATTTACCCTAAAAAAGATGGTTTCCTTGAACACATATCCACCAGAATGTACAGAATGTGTTTCAGTCTCACCTAACACAATTATGTGATCTGGGATGAGATTCTGCCACATTGTGCTGGCATTTTCGTTATAGATATATCAACCAACTTCCATACATTTTAAATAAAGATACTGGTTGCTTTTTTAAGTTATCTGTATTTTTAAATTATGTATTTTCTACTTATTTGGTATCCTTACATTTTTTAAGTAATCATCGTTGTAGTGCTCTTTTTTTCCATATTTGGTGCCTTTGTATTTGCCAGCTTTGCTGTCTAGTATATAGATCTATTTAAATCTGTGCACAATTGCTCCAGGTTGTTCAGGTAATCCGGGATGAGATCCTGCCCTATGGCGCTGGCATGCCCAAGGAATTTGTCATCAAGATCATGCACATACTAAACCAGGGCTCCATACATGCAGCCACAACTGATGCTTTCATAGGTACTGAAATTAACTGGGTTTCACACAGGCTGGAACTGTTGTTCCTACATGTACCTTAGGGACTTGAACGAGAAATTTTTGAAGGACTGGTAGAATATTGTGTTCAGTCAGTCCACAGGACCAGTAACAGTATTATGGGGTGGCCATTTTGAACTTACAGTAAAAGGTCCTTCTGTCCAAGAAATTTTTCATAATTGCTGGTCTGACTGTTTTAAAAGTCTTCAGCATGCCTGGTGGGTGGGATTCACTTAAACATGATAATTTGAACCAATTGACAAAGTTTTTGTCCAGATCCTCTTCAAGTTAAAATCTTTCACAGCTTTGTAATGAATTAATAATTCCACTAATTAATTTTTTTTAATTGAAGCAAAACATTACTTCATGTTTCATGTTTTAAGACCAAAAACGCAGTTACGAAACTGCTCTGAACTGTGTGTGTGTTTGTGTGTGTATGTATGTCTGTGTGTGTAAAACTAGCTGAAGGCCCAAATTCTTGTAGAACTGATCATATTGTCAGTTCTGTTCAGTATTTCCCAGCATTCCCTGTATTTTTCTCCCTTCAGATACAGACTCTAGTCGTAAGTTACGTGAAGAGTTTGCCAAAGCGTGCTTCGAGACTTTACTCCAGTTCTCCTTCATCACAAATGCGTACAGCACTGGCGAGGGAACGATAACGGACCTTGCCGTTTCTTCCATGTTACAGCGATGCCAGGGCGTCATTAAGAAGTTTGTGGAAGACGAGAGGCTGAGTGGAAAATGTCCTCTGCCAAGGTATTTACCAAGCTGACAACTAGTGCCCCCTATGGTTCAGTTTTGAAGGCTTGGTGTGGCTTCACAGCAATGTGTTCACAGTTTCTTACCATGCAACAGCTTGGCGTGACACCAAAATGAATATTTGGTTTTCTGCGCATTTAAAAAAATAATCGTCACTTTGTTTGCTGTTGCTAAGTCAAGCTGCCACAGGGGGACTGCAAGTACATCTTAAATACCAAGGACAAAGTAAGGCTGAAATGCCTAATGAAGTGGCGCTATTGCTTAAGCAGGTTTGATTGACCATTTAAGCTGTGCCTCGATGAGGGTTGCATTTGCCAACACTGCAGTTTTCAAATCTTGTAGATCGTTGGTTTGACATGGTAATAAACATAAGGAAGAGAATAACACTTTAAGAACTTAGGGCATTCTTAGAATATGTTCAATTTGATTGTTGGCAAAGATACTGGCAATGTTGGGTTGTCCCAATTCCTGCCCAGGGAGTGCCCCTTATACTGTACCTAAGATTTTTAGATCCATCATTTATTGAACCTACCTGAACAAGAAGTAGCTCCCCTAGTTAACATCTACCATGTAGACACCCATATTTAGAAAATAAAATATAGCACTATAAGAGTGAACACTTTCGTATTATTAATTTTTCATGGCAAAAAAATATATTTTCTGTTTCAGACCCCGGATGGCAGAGATGTGTTCTGTGTTGAAAGCTGTGGCAACTCTTTTGTCTTCACTCAAGAAAGCACCACAAGCAAACAGTAAGTACGGTTATGATTTCAAAATGCAGAAAATTACACATGTGGAGATTTTACCTATACTTCTCAGCTTCTTGACTGACAGTTGACAACCTTCTTGACTGACAGTTTTTCAATACCTAGAGAGAATTAATGCCAAAAGTGGTGGAGTCAGCTTTCTTGACTGACAGTCTTTAATAACCAGAGAGACATTCCCCTTTGTTCTGTAATCTTCATGACTAAAATGCACTGTTGCACAACAAGACAGATTTTGTAAGCTAAAGACATGTCAGATATATCTTCCACAATACAATTTTTGTTCCATTTGTTACTTTATTTGTTTTTTTAATATTAATTTTTCAGTTGACCCCAGCATCTGGAGCCAGGTGATACAGCTGTACCCACACTTAGTAGACTGCACTACTTCTGGATCCCCCCATGTCTCTAAAGCTTTGAAAGAGTCACTTCATGAATTTAAAGAACTACTAGCACCCCCTAGTGGTGTGCAAAATGGTCTCTGATTGGATGTGGTAATGTCTGCTGTGGAGAAACTGATACCAGGAGAAAAATTCTTGTTAAATGTGAAGATTTTCTATGTTCATTACGACGAGGTTTTGGGTGCTGATATAAATATGTAAATGTGCAATTTTTGTCTGGGGGCATTTTGGAAATTACTCTCAAAAATTAATAAAAAATTAATTAATATAGTTCCTAAAAGTAATAATGAAAATGGCGATTCAAAAGTTTTGATGAGTGCGGGTTGGCTCCATGCCAAAAGAACATTTTCATAAGTGACTGAGAAGATTAAATCTTGAACAATTAAGATATTAGAACTATAATTGAGGTATTGGAAAATTTCCATAAGTAAGGGTTTGCCCGAGTTTCAGAGTTGTTAAGGAACTGACAGAGTAGAGTGTCCAGGGGTAAAAGTTAATCTTAGTTCCCTGAAGTTCAGGATATTGCTGTACAAACTATGTGATAAATATAAAACTGGTGGCAACCCTGGGAACAGAACATTTGCTACAATAGTCACTGGATGTTTCTCCATTGTTGCTAGCTTCATAGTGGTTATCGAGGATTTCCATACAGTAGATGATGAAATTGGTTATGAAGTATTGTTGATAGTTGATTATACATGGACTAATAATTCAGTGAAAAAGACAATTTTGATTTAAAAAAAACAGAAATGTCATTGGTTTCATTGAAAGGTTTGACATGAGATGTAGTGTAGCAATGTATGTCCTGTTGCGCATTTCTTCAGTTTTGGCAGCACTTCTTTAGTGCAGGTTTTCTA